CATACTTGTACATTTTTTAAATTTATTTATTCATTTATTTGGTACGTACTGCTCCATTGATTATTCGTTCTTTAAGTTGGGCAAAAAAAAATCACGTTTTTTCTGTTTGTTCAACTCTTTTGGAGATTATTATTATTTTTTTATTTAGATAATTTTATTGGATCCCAGTCCTCGACTTTGGGTACGTTAGTTATTAATAAAAAAAGAGCATTGGATATGATCACAAACATGAATCCTTTTGTCATTCCAATTTATCATGTTTAATTTATAAGTAATGATGATCAAATTTTATGATAAATAAAGAGTAAATTTAATTAATGATTTCTAATTATAGATGGTTTTTCATATTTAGTTCTCAATTCTTAGATATTCAACAAATAGTCTTCAGTTTTTGATAGTTATTCCGTAATCAGTCTTTTAGCAACAATTTGTGAAAAATTATTTTCTCATGTTTGGCATAAAAGATTACTTTTGAAATATTCTCTCCATTCTAAATTAAGGTTCACAGTTTGACTTGACATAAAGTTTAAAAATAGTAAAAATATATGATTGAAAATAATGCAGAAGAAAAAAAATTATGTGTCGCTCAAGCTTTTCCATAAAAGGAAAGATGAGGTTTTTCAGGACATCCCAAAAAAGAAATAAGGGTTCTTTTTTGAGTAAATTACATAATTGGTCCTTTATAATAGGAGAGTTTCCATATTTAGTTCATTATTATCAAATATTACCACTGTAGTCCTTTTTTTAAAGTTACCTTTCCACAAATGGTCCTTTTTTTATCTTCTGTTGTGTTGATGTTAATTTAAAGGCTAAAAGTATAATTTAACATCAACATTATGTTTAGTGACGTGTTCTGATATTGGTTAAGCGGATAACACAAAAATAATGACAATGGTTGTGGGCTAGGGTTCTGACGAAATACCATATTTGTAGACTATGATTGTAGTAGAAAGCGACTGTAATTCACAAACGACGCAAATGGAACAGCCTTTGAAATTGTGTATGACAAAAAAAATATATTATCATTGTGAAATTACACTTTTAGCTCTGAAATTAACACCAACATGATAGAAGATAAAAAAAGGACTATTTGTGGAAAGATACCCATAAAAGAAGGACCACTCGGATAATATTTGATAATAGAGGACTAATTAGGGAAACCTCCCTATTATAAAAGACCAATTATAGAATTTACTCTTCTTTTTTTTGGCACATATAGAGTAGTTTTCCAAAATTGCAGACTATTTATATAATATCTTATTATTAGAAATTAAATATTAAAAATCATCTGTAATTGGTGACTATTTATAAATAAAAATATGTTAATAATAAACGTCTCTTTGGCTACAACTTATCATTCCATGCAAGCTTGAACCTTTGGAGATTGGAGTTTGATAATTGTAACATGGCATTTTAATAATTCTTGTAATTGAAATTTATACATCAGAGTCTAAAGAGCGATAGTTACTACTAGTAGTTTGGAACTTGGAAGTCTACACTAACATCTGAATAATTAGAATATAAAATTTAAAAAGAAAAGATTTTTGGTCATGAATAAATTAAAAAAAAAAAAGAGAAGGTACACCACACACCTTAAGTAATGTCAAAAATATGATCTCTTCGATCTCGATCTCCTGATTCCAATTAATAATTAAGGGTCATTTAGTATATGAATTTAATATATATGACCTAACATGCAATAAATAATTCCTCAATAACTCCATCATCTGTTATTAGGCCACCCTCTTTAAGTTGCCATACCTACCTTCTTCATTGAGCGTCATGATGATAATAATAATAATAATGGTAGTTTTAATAACAATAAATACTCACTCCTATTAATTACCACAAACTTCTCCTAGAATCTACCCACCCACGCTCTTTTTGAATTTCAATAAGGTTTAAGCCGTTTAACCTTTTAAATAAACTCCATCCACATCTAAATACTTTTTCTCTCACTTTTCATTCTTATCAAACATTTTTTTTTCATTTCATATTAAAAATTACTCTTATCACATCACAAGAGTTTATTTAAAAAAAGTAGTATCAAAACACGTACACTTCTCTAAAATATTTTAAAAGTCAGTACACCGGTGGGCGTTGCGCAGTTGACAATGGCAAAGAGTGCCAATTGAGGGGATAAGCCTGAATCTGATTCCTGGCAACTGTGCTGTGAGTAACAATGCTAAACATAAGGTCTCTGCAAGCTAAGTACCAGGTTTGAGGGGATTATCAGACTTACAAAGAGACATTTAAATTTAATACAGGAAGATTTTTTTTAAAGACGTTTAAATTCTGTTTCAGTGCTGTGGTCAATATAGGAAGATTTTTTTAGAGACGAAGGGAGTATTAAATTAAATAATGTAAAAGTTCTTAATCATAATGAGGTATAAGTGTATATATAACATGTTAAATTTAATAAGGTTAAATTTAACGAGGTTAAATTTCTTAATCACAATGAGGTATTTTTATGGTAAAGATTAAATAATTTGAGTTTCATTAGGTCGAGATAGACCCGACATTCCAAACAAGGGGTATGGGTCACCATAGTCGAAGGGGTACAAACAAAACGAACTAAAACAGAATTTTGTAATAAAAATGCCATCGATCAAACTCTTCATTTTGTCAGAAATGTCACTAATGACCAATTTGAGATAAGAGCCCTAGGAAGGATAAGTGCTTATTATTGATCCATCATCTAATTTGATTATAAAACTCCAACATAACTAGCTAAGTACAAGAAGCTAAGAAATAACAAAATTGATCAGTTAGTTAGTTAGGATATCATAGTACTAGTATTCTGACCCGTGCCATGCACGGGATCGAACAAAATTTATGTCGATTCTAAAATATTTTAATGAAATTTATTTTTTGGAATGAGGAAAATATACTGCTCACATTATTTTTAATACTACATATGAAAAATGTCAAAGTAAAATAAATAATATTTGAGGAACTGAATGTAGAGTTAACAATGTTTATTTTAATACCAAAATTTTTGAAAAATTTCAGGCTATACAACAATTTTGGTATGGTTGCAAGAGTTTCCATTGTCATCTAGAACCAATATCTTTCATCTTGTCTTTGTCTTCACTCATGAAACACTAACATAAAGTTGACCATGTGTGAACACCGACTTGGTTAAAAATAATCCCACAAATGACACTGTTTGACCTTGATTTTTGTTGATAGTCATAGCAAAACATAAGGCGATCGGAAATTGTATTCTTTGGAACTTCAAGGGTTGTCCTAGATCAGATGGTACCAAATTCTTTCAAGAGGATGTAAACCTTTTCCCCAGATCGATTTCCCAAAACCACAATTGCACCGATAACATTATTTCACAGCTCTCAAACGATTAATCTTGTCCCATTACACAATCCAGATGTTTGGTTTATGTTCCTCAATAGCATAATTGGTACCCCTTTTTTCAAGACTATTTTGTGGTTTGGGATTCTCGAACATTTGATTTTGTACAAAAACTCAACTGTTATCGAATCGCCATCGACACCTACACTTGCATCTGCTTGGCGCGAAGAATCAGAAATCAAGTATTCCTTTTCATCACCAGGAATGAGGGATATGACAAATTAATTTATCATTTCAACTACTTCGAGAATTGGTGCTAATAGTGCCCTATCCTAATTTATCATTATACAGCAAGTCCGGGGTTTTTTGAAGTGGTAGTTGAACTTTTCCTTTCATGTAACAAATCGAGAACTCTGGATGGTTTGAATCTCTATATTTTTCAGCTCTTTCTTCATACCACAACAAAGCTCCACAAAATTCACATGCAAATGAGGAATCCCCAAAATCAATTATTTCTACAGAAAAAATTAAAAATAATATAACTAATATTTTCCATACATTGCACATATTACATAACTTACACGTTGTACATATAATCAAAACTTACCTTTAATTTCAGCTCCTCCAAATATAGGATTATCTAAAAATAAATCCCTTGTGCTCTCTTGAATAGAGGAATTTTCGACCTCCACATCTAAAATTGAAATATATTGAGTGTATGTAGAATATGAAGTATGTACTATTTGCCTAGATGGGTTGTAATATAAATGGTTTAAACACATTTACCATCATAACTAATATTACTTTCATAAAAATTTATCGCACGTATTACAAAAGATAAATTGATTCTTCCATATCTCTTTTGCACATGCTGCTGAGATGGAGGCACAATTATTCCCTGATTGAAGCAATGTACAGATAAAATATTAAAGTTGTTAAAATTACGTTTTGTGACATTTTACTTCATAAGTAACCCTTCCACATGTTAAAAAATGGATTAATTAAATTTCTTATTCAAAATTTATAAATATCATTTGTCACATCACAAAGTACATTCCTTCTTATGTGTGTGTGTGACAGTACGGTGTTATTGAGAGCAGATTGATCATATCTTCGCAGTCGATACTCTCTAAGATTTATTCTCGATAGCTACTTTCTTCCTCTTCTTCTACATGTTCATCCTCTTTAATATGTTCTTGCTCTATTTGTAAATCGATGTTCTTGCTCTTCCATCTCTTTTACTTCTACTTCTTCGTCTTCAGCAACAAATTTCATAAACTTATAAAATAATTCAACAAATGATAATGTTCAGCCTTAACTTTTATTGATAATAATAGCAAGACATAGCACTATAAGGTCCTATCTTCTCTTTGAAACTTCAAAGCTAATCCAAAATCAGACGATAACAAATTCATTTTTAGTATATAAACCTTCTTCTCGACTTTGTTTGTTGCTTCTCCCTAAAAATTCATAAAAATGTTAGAGGTATATAAACCTTCTCTCCAATAATTCATAAATAATGTTTTCCAAAATGAATAAAATAGAGAATTTTTAAATTAAACCATATATCATCTAAGAATTATCCAAGAGAGTTTGTACTAAAAAAAGTTATTGCATCATAAATGATGATGATTTTCAGACTAAATAAGATATTATATTTTTAAATTAAATAACAATAATCTAAGGAATATAAACCATAAATTGTGTAATACTTGAATCTAACAATAAAACAAATTCAATCAAAGTACTGAACTATATCTAGTTCTCCTAATATCGATCGATTTGTGGGGGAGAAAATTTAAGAAATGAAAAATGGACCCTGGAAATGCTTGAGACCAATCTACAAAGAGCATAGAGCCTTTTGCTAACAATCCTCTTTTGAATTGATGACCCTTCACGTTCCTCATCTACTTACCATCATCTTCATCCCCTTTCTGATCCCTAAGTCAAGTGTGATTGACCATTCTCTTGACTGCTGTATGATGAGCCACACAAACCCTTGATGTCGCCAATCATCATCATTTCCCTCTAATCATCACTTGATTCTACATCATCACCACATTTATATCACGATGATCCAATCCACTCTCCATCTTGAATTCACTCATTTCGTTCGTGTTCGACAGTAACTTGCCATAACTACTCCTGTGGGACAAAGTAGAGAAGTTAGATCTGAGAAAAGATGAAAAAAAACATCCCTTTGACCCATTATTATTATTCATCATGGGCTAGCCTGGAATCCCACACCTCAGGGTTCATCATGGTGGCTGATGCTTGTTGATGCTCTATGACTTGTTGGTCATCATGCATCAGTTTTGCAATAGATACTTCAATCAGTCCCAAGCAGTTTTAGTATCAGATCGGAACACATGTTGTGATTATTACCTGCGTGAAAAGAGAGGAAAATCAGGCTGCTAAGAATTGGGAGCAATGAAGTTTCTTCTATTACCACATGCACACTTACACACCAAAAACAACATCCAATTCCAAGGGATGTGAGAAATTTAACCATTTTGCAGAGGACTTTAACTTCTCAGCTTTGTCATAGACGGATAGAGATTTGAGGGTAGAGGAGAAACCTAGCGAGAAGGGATGAGTATCAAGAAAGCTTCCAAAATTTGAGATGTGGTCTAAACTACTATGGTAAAATAGGTCGATACCATCAAATATGATAGCTCTAGCACCAGAATTCTTGAATTTAGATATTATCATGAATACTAAATAGATCATAAAACTCATAATCTCTTTTCCATATTTGATCTCTCAACAGTGCAAATGCATATCAAGCCTGGTGTGATTTATAAAAAAAGTAATGAAATAGAATCTGGCTACATTTTATGAAAACATCTGGAACACTCACTGTGTGATGGAATGTGCTTAAATCTATAGATCAAAATCAAGCGTAGCTTTTAAAATATCATTTATTGTGATGGGATTTAGCTTCATTGCCATGTGAAATAAAAAAGCTTCAAAGGGATTTCAGTTTTTCATTTGCTTTTTTTAAACATTACAAACAACCATCATACTCCTTGTATGAATCAAGAGTTGAACATAAATAACGACAGACTGGAATCTATTTACCCAATTGAAACCAACATTCAGCAAATTCATTTTGTATTGCTAGTCTAAATTACATATAAAAATAAAAAATGAACATATAAATATACCTAAAGTTACTGCCTGTGTTCTCAAGCTTTGTCAACCTCTCTTAAGAACCGTGTCCAAGATCTCAATCCATGCATGTTTGGATGGAAGAAAGATCAAAATAATCTCAGATATCATTTTAAATGAAAACTTAAACTAAAATTGAAATTGAAACGATGTAAACAGCAAACCTACCAGGCTGCAGCTGTCTTCATCCCTGCAAAACCCAATTGTTGCCGCCGTGACAACATTGGAAACCCTTGGCCAGTCCATGGTATCCGGCAAACGGTTCCTAGCGAGCGATAAGACCATAGAGTTTCCTTCTATGTCTGCGAGGGTTTCATTCTGACAAAGACTGAGAACGGTGGTCTATTCCGTATGTTTAAGAAGGAAACAAATTTGCACCGACTGGCGATTCTTGGTCTCAATCATGCGTGAAATTGAGGAAATTACCATACGAAAATTGAGGATTGTAAAGTACACTACGAAAATTGAGGATGAGGATTGGAAATTCAGAAATTACCTCCTTCCCCAAATACTCGGTATTGACCTACGAAGAAGGCAACAAATATATCAAAGAAGAGATATTGTTGAAATATTTGAATAATAATATTGCTTCTTTAATTATGAAGTACATGATAGAGTATATATATATAGGAAAGACTCTTAACACAACCAAGAATAGAGAATGGAAACTAACTAACATACAACATCTACCACAAATAGGATTAGGAAGCCGACTAATAATGAAACACTACCATAACCAATACTACAAGAAGTACTATTATTATTATTGTCTAATATCCCCTCTCAAGCTGAACTCTGGCTGAAGCAAGAGTAAGCTTGGACACTAGTTGGAAACTGGAAACTTTGAGAAGAGAGAAGTCTGACATGCGCCGGTGGCTGCTCACGTCGTTGGAGAAGAGAAAAGTGTGACACGCGTCGGTGGCTGCTGACGTCGTTGGAGAAGAGAGAAATTGACGTGCGCTAGTAGCTGCTGACGTCGGTGAAGAAGAGAGAAGGTTGACGTGCGCTTGTAGCTGCTGACGTCGAAGAAGAAGAGAGAAGGTTGACGTGCGCTTGTAGCTGCTGACGTCGAAAAAGAATAAAGAAGGCTACTGGAGATGCCTGTTTGACTAAAGATCCTTGACATTTTTTGTCTTTTTCTTGGATCCGGGCAATGCCCTATTTTCTTTTTGAAGGGGTGAGTTGTAGAGGTCTTATTTCTTCTTTCACTACTTCCCCTCTTGGCTTTGCTTTTGTGCTAATTTACTTTGGATTTTTATTGGTTCAACGGAAGAGAAAGAGAAGGGAGGTTGATGATTAGAATGAGTGATTTTGGAGAGAAAAAGTAGGTTAAGAATTGGTGATGGGAAAAAAAATTTGGGTCTGAGATTTTGATATGGTCAATTGGAGAGAAACAACAATCATTTTTTTCCTTTTTTTTGAGAAGATAGGATGATCTGAGAGGGTTTGTGAGAAGTTGGGTTTTTTTTTTGAAGAATCATGGAGATGACAAAAGAGAAGTTTATCCTTTGATAGTTTTTTTATGTGTGATTTCAACAAGGTTTTTTTTCATTTGAGTGGAAAACTTGATTTGAGGATAAAGAAGGAAAAAAAAAATAGAGGTGAATAGGGTGGAGCCGCCGTCGCCGGAATTACCGGCGGCGGTGGTGGGAGTAAAGAACTTTTTTTTAAGTCACCAAGAGCGGTGACTCTGATACCATGTTGAAATATTTGAATAATAATATTGCTTCTTTAATTATGAAGTACATGATAGAGTATATATATAGGAAAGACTCCTAATACAACCAGGAATAGAGAATGGAAACTAACTAACATACAACATCTACCACAAGTAGTATTATTATTATTGTCTAATAGATATGGTATCTTCAATTTCCTTAGGCAAATAAGAGAAGCCGTAACGGAGAGAGAGAATTTTAGAAATTTCGAGTTTCCTTGCGTAAATTTTCACTTTCCTTGGTTAAAAGAGACCACAAATTTCTGCCATATACTTTCCTTCTGCGAAGGAGGCGTGTTTTATTTTTCATTGGAGAAGTTATGAGGCCTTAAGCATTTTCCAAATGGCATGTTCTAAGAAATTACCTTACACGTGTCAAAAAATGAGACTTTAAGTATTGCCAAATGGCATATTCTTAGAGCATGGAGTCTCCTTTATTATAGTAAAAGATATAAAGGATAAAGGATTAAACATAAATTCTTTAGGTCTTCTCAGGACATTATAAGTTCTGCAAAAAAAGAATTATTTAATTTGTTTTTATGCAGTGCTCAATTAAAGAGTTTTGTTTTCATATAATGTGTTTCAGATGGATTAATACATTAAAAAACTATCTTTATATTCAAGTACCTTGATTCCAAAATATTCTCATTCGATCAAATAAAATTCCATTCACCAAGAGTTTCTATAATTTTTTCAAAACAATTTATGGGTGACTCATGGTACGTGGACCAACAACATTTTAGCATATTCTTAAATCCTAAGTTAGCAACCTCTTTTATACCTTCAATAAGTTCTTTATCATCGATTAATAACCTTAATGCTTCACATGCTACCTCAAATACGCTATGTAAAACATTGTTAACTCTCATCAAGCTCTAATAATTAATTTCTTACACATAAATACTCACATACTAAGTCATCGTCATTTCAAAGTTTATTAATGAAAAATAGTAATTTTTTGGAACATATCTATAAATTTTTACAAAGTTAGTAATAGAAAATAATAATTTAAAATGGAAAATACTAATTTTAAAATGGAATATACTTGTTATTTGACTTAGAATTTTTTTAATATATATGATACGGAGTATAAAATTATTGCTCTGTGAAATGCACATGCCCATAAAAATCCTTTTTCTTTTATATATTTGTTTCTCTTTTTTTAAAGTTCGAATATCTCTCTAATTAGTATTAATTCAAAGTAAAAAATAACCATATGTAATTTCTTTTAGTCCTACCAATCTATCGGTTCTTAGAATATATTTATTTATTTTGATTATTATTTTTGAATATGAGTTCTTTTTTCAATTTCAAAATATATTATATAATTTAAATATTTTCCAACAATGAATTAAGATATAAAAGCTTTTTAATGCGATTATGCTGAGAAATTTGTGTGTAACAAATACGAAATTTAATTTCCATTGAATAAGTTTTTTGTTAACTAATTCTTTAAATATAACTTGATGACATGACATTCTGACATGTTAAAAAAATTGTCTAATAAACGCACCACATGTCACAATTCTAGAAGGCAACTCTCAAATTTTATATATAAAGATTATATATTTAAAATTGAAAAGGAATTTTTATACAATCTTTTTTTTTAATTATGAAATATCATAAAGGTTTATGTGAACTTGTAACAAAAATCACCCTTGCTTGGATGGCTAGAAACTCAACCAAATGTCTTGGAGGTTTTGGGTTCAAACTCCCACACAGGCATGTTTTGGAAAAAAATCACAAGATTAAATACGTGGCAGATGACTTGTTAAAAAATGCTAAGTAGACTCGCCACATGTCGAAATTCTGTGCGACGAGTTTCAAATATTATAGTAAAAGGATTTGTTAAGTGTGGATCATCATTACCCACCACCAATCTTCACTTCCATATATCTCAATTGCTCATTATATTAGTCGTCCAAGTCAAGCATTTGTAAGACGATTGCATTATTTTAGTGCTAAGTTCTTGCAAGGTACCTAGCTAGCTTCTGGAAAGGGCAAATGTTTCCGGCCGGCCAGATATTTCTCCATATTGGTATTCCAAAAGCACATTTGGATTTCTTGGAATATAATTTAGATTCTTCCATGAATACTGAACTTATGAAAGCTTGAAAGGATATATGTCAGAGCATATATATAAGTCCAGACCAAATGGCATTACTAAAATTTCATAATTAATGTCGTTCATGAGTTTTATAGGCTATCTTGCAGACAACTTAATTGCATTCTTAATTAGTGAATGATACCCAACTCTCATTTCTATCTTAGAAAATATGACTATTCCACTCGATTAATCTGGCAAGTCTTTTATGATTAAATTAAGAAATAATTTATCCTAGATATTCCACCCAATTCACTGTAAGCATCTTGCTTTTGTGAAATACAGAAGAGAGTCATCTTTCTTTAAATTGCAATATTGAAAGGACTGGTAAAAAAACAAATGTCATGTTGACCCTCCTCAATCCTCATCAGCTTCTAAGCTTATTCACATAAAGGTTTTTCCATGCACATGCATAACGATAGGTTTTTCTTGACTTATTATGGAAAAACAATTTTTAACTTATAAACTGTTTATAAATTAAAGAGCGTTTTGTGAAGGTAGATAAGTCATTTAGCGTTTTTCATAATGTTAAAAGATAGTTTTGTAAATAATCTACATAAATGAAAAAATGTCTTAAAACGAGACTTACTTTTTTATACTTATAAATTGCCTATAAGCATGAAAAAATACATCATCAGCTGACTTATAAATTAAAAATAACTTATAAGTCCAAAGAAACACCATCATAATCCGTCCGACTCAAAAAGGTTTTCCCACATGTATAACAATAGTTGGTTGAACTTAGCTTCAATCCAATTATTATGAAAAATGGGGTTATTTTTGAAAATAAAGTTAACATATACTCCGCCCTAAAACCATCTTTTCGTTTGTGCTTACGAGGTTTGACCGACTTTATTTTCAATTAAATTTATTTGATTGTGGGTGTAAAATTAAAAAAAAAAATTATATATTTAAAAATCACATCAAAAGTTTTACAAAACAAGATGTGACAAGACTATATTATCAAATAACTAACGAAAATAGGTTAAAAAGTTATTTAAGTTTGACCATGTGAATGATAACTGGGAATATAGTTTTAGAATGTATGGAGTATAAAATTAAGTGAAACAAGCAATAGTCGACAACAGAATTTTATTATATCAAATGAGCTGAGTGATGAATTTAAAGAAAAAAGTGATTGAAGTATCATGACTCCCAAATAGTGAAAGGAGAAAATTTTTGTTTGAATGGAAGAATATATACTTTTTATTTGTTAATGAATCGCCAATTAATAAATAAATAAAATTAAAATCATTTTCTATCAATTTCTTTCAATGAGTGTGTAAAATAAATGTAAAATCCCGAGTCAGGGTCCCTCGGCCCAGAAGAAAATACATCGATTCAGATGACATAAAATAGAAACAAAGCAGGCCTAATAGCTCACTCGACCCACTAAAAATGGGTTGGTCCAATAAACTATTGGACCCAAAATAAAGTGTAAACAAGACCAAGTAGCCCGTTCAATTCAATAAGAATATTCTCTTTCCCTTCACCTAAAAAAAGCAACACTTCACTATTTAAAAACAACAAAATTTTTGTGTGTGTTTTTCATTGTTTATTTGATAAAATTAAATTATTTTATCACTTAATATTTTGTAGAACTTTTGAAGTAATTTTTTAATATGTAAATTTATTTTTTATTTTATTTTTTTACTAATTTTGATAATAACATGAATCAAAAAAACTTGAAATTTTTATTCGTTCTGCGTAATGTGCATTATATTTTAGATGAATAGAGTATAATATGCATAGTAATCCCTTGAATCTATTGAGAAATGGGTTAGACCCACAATCTACAGAATAAAAAGATTGACAAATTAACCAATATTTTACTGCAAAGACTCTAGAAGTCTATCTGCTAAGTCGACAATCAAATTCCAAACAAAGCAATAGTTATCAAACCTATAAACACAATCAAATACGGATTGATCACCATTATTTGGTTGGGACCAAGTAGATAACATTGTAAAAATTTTACCTCGACGTGAATTGATTTAAGACATATTATATCGTGGACCTATGGTCTTCGATGCATCCATAGATGAGATTGATAAGCATTTATTTAATGTTGAGATAAGCAATTTTATTTTTATTTAAAAATAATTCAATAATTAAATAATAATTTTCTATGTGTAAGGTCGACACAAATTTTTTGTAAACCTTAGGTGAATCAAAAAATATTCTTTGGCCTTATTTGGGAAGAGTTTTTCAATTAGCGTTAGTGTTCTAGATAGAATTTTAACGGTGTAAATTGACTCTAAAAACGTTAACGCCAAGGTTACTGTCAGATAATCTTTTCAACACGCTAACGGTAACATCTAACGCTAATGTCAAACAGAGCCTTTTGTACTATTAAGAGAACACTCTTGTTTTACATGTTTACGATGTGGTCATTATTCAAAAAATTGCTTGCTCTAAGTCTAAATGTTGATTTGTTGTGGTCCATGTGTAATACTAATACAGAGTTGAACCGATTAAAACGCAGTTGAATAATGCCACTACACTTTTGACTAAAGGAAAGAATTCCACATCATACATACATTCTTTTTCTTAAAATAAGAGTAAAGCAAACTACTCCCCTTACATTCTAAATTCATTTTAGAATTGGTCTAAAGTTAAAAACAAAAGTGTACGGAGTACATCACAAATTTTACAAAAGTGATGAATGACAACTACACCATTATCATATACTCATTCCGTCCCTAAATAGATTATAAATTGCGGATTACAAATAAAATTTCATACTTTTTGAAATTATTTTATTTATAAATTGATATATCAATAAGATATAAAAATTACATATTAAAAAAATTACGCCAAAAATTTTACAAAACAAAAAGTGACAAGAATATTTTATTTTATCAAAAACTTAATAAAATTGCGTAAACAAACAAAAATTATCGAGAAGAGAGAGAAAAAAATTGTAATAAATTTAAGGACGGAGGGAATAAAAAATATTACAAAATAAAGTCTGAAATTTATACGACAAGCTTGAATTTTTTGATTGAATGAACATTTAAACAAAGTTTTAAACCATGACCAAATGATCAGAATGTTTTAAAAAATTAATCTTTATGTTCATGATTCTAGCAAAAATAAATTTTGTCTACATTGAAGACTTTAATGGGAGGGAGGGGGAGTAGGAAACAATATAACACAAAACATAAGATCTATAATCCATTTTTTGCCTTAATCAGCTCATTTCTGCGATTTCATCTTTCAATCATCAGAATATGTACACATACACAAACAGACTACAGAAGAAGAAGAAGAAGGAAGAAAAAAACTCGATCTCCATTTCAGGATCGGCTCTCCTATGGAGTATATATCATCGCCTATTAGCCTAATCAATCTCAGCCGTTAAAAACAAACACAGAGAAATTGAAGGAGAAGAAGAAGAAGAGATTTAAAGGTGCGATTTCAGACGACATTAGAGAGGGAAATCAATTGAGGTGGTGGCAGGAGGCGTACACGAGGTCGCCGGAGAGAGAATCGAGGAGATCGCAGGAGACGGCGCCGGTGCGGAGAGCATCGAGGACGCGCTCGAAGACGAGGACGTGGCAGGGGATCCGGAGAGCGCCTTGCTGCTTGTAACCGTACTCCTGCGCCGACTGGTTGAGGAGGCGGACAAAGACGGGGTGGTTGAGCAGCTCCGCGCTCACGACGAACCTCTCCATCTCCTCCCCGACGTACACCGGCAGGTGCCCCTCCGGCACTCCGATCGAGCCAGATCTGAGCTTTATCGTCCTGAACGACTCGAACCGCCGGGATCGAGACGGCGCCGCCGCCCGCGCCTCGGACCGGAGCAGGCTGTACTGCGACGAGTCAGCGACGCGGGATAATCGGCGAATCAGCTTCTTCATCGCCGGAAATCTCGAGGATTTGTTGAGATTGTGGGAGAGAGAAGATGAAGAAGAAGAGAGGGAGGAGATGGAGGCGCAGTGTGGGGTGGTTATTTATGATTATATACTCCCCCCCAAAAAAATACGGAGCGTACTTGGCAAGTACAAATATCGTTTTTCTATTAAAAAATAAATTTAAAGTGGTACGGATAACCGAAGGAAGGGAGGAGAGGCGTATTTAAGGACCCAAAACTACCCCTGTACGGAGCCCATAACTGATCAATACGTGGGTGGGGTTCTTAACTATTCTGTTCCGTATTTCTTTTCTTTTTCTTTTTTTGAATAATAATCCGTATTTGGAACGGAGTTTAAGCTTTTGTAATGTACGGAGTATTAGTAGTATTCAAACTTAATAATTACGGAATATTTATTTTATGTAGTGTGCATATGCCGGAGAATTTTATGTTTTGAAAAAAAAGTAATTGAAAATGTGTCTTAAACACTAGCTCTTATTTAGTGCTCGTTTGATGAGTTTTGAAGGTATGATATAATATGAGTTTATGAAACCTAGAAAAAAATTATGATCCTGAATTACGGGGTATGAAATAAGATTGTTTTAGTGATTTAGAATCATGATTTAATTATTGTTATGTATAGACTTGTAATGAAAGTCAATATTTTTTCATTGTAGAGTTGTTCATCTGTAGTTCTCCATATGTAAAATGTGGACCTTCTTGCATTTTTTATTGATCGTCACGTGGTTTTTTTTTCTTCAAAAAATCTAATTATTTTGTGATATACGGAGTATATATCAATACACTAGGATTTATAAAATGAGTATAGACGCAAGGTTATATAATAATTTGCATACATTTTTAGGAAGAATGAGAAAGGAAATTGAGACATTTGTCTAAGGATGATGGAATAAATTAAATCATTTTTATCTCTTATTCACCTTCTACCTTTAAAAGAACTTTTTATTATAGATTAAATGACTGACTAAATTATTTTCATTTGAAGTTACTTAAAAGTTGGTGTAAAGTCAAAAAAAATTAATTTATATATTTAAAAACAAATATCAAGATCTCTACAAACAAATGTGAAACAAATATTTATCAATGTTTAAAAAATAAAAGACGAAGATATTTCAAATAATCTGACTACGTGAATAGAAAAAAATGAATTAACGAACATAAATATGAGCAGAGACACGCAACACGATTTCAATACATGAATATGAAAAACGAAAATTATGCAATACCAATATATTCCCTACATCCAAGATTACCAGATGAAGGATATATTTGTAGGAAATAGAGAAAACTTTATTTATTTATTTATTTTTTATGGTTGAAGATGGGAGTAAATTGGGGATTGAATTGGTCCGTGGCCATGAAATGGGGCACTAATGGTGGGTCGGTTTTCTTTCTTGCAAGATGCCGTACACGGAAGGGAAGGGTGCACTTCATTTACTATCTACTCCACTTTATTTAAAGCAACTTTGAAAACATTTGTTTGATCCAAAAAGGAAATGCGAAATGACGGTCCCGCTTGGCATCATCGTCAGAGATTAGCGTTTTAAAAAGGTTATCTGACGGTAGCCTTTAGCATTAGCATTTTCAGAGTTAGTCAACACCATTAAAATTTTATCCAAAACGCTAACGCTAATTATATTGAAAATCCTCTTTCCAAATAAGGCCGACCAAAGCATCCCCGCACCGCTAAACCCACATATACTGATATATACCCCAGAGGGTGATATATTTGTAGGAAATAGAGAAAACTTTATTTATTTATTTAAAATGAACGCTACTTTCCAAAACTTTAATTCAAAAAAACACAAAGTACTTTGATATGCTACTTCCATTGAGTATATCTATCTAGTTTTGACTTTCTAACTCTCTTAACTTGTGTTTTGATAGCTGAAATTTGAGAGAAAAAGGGTAAGGTAACATGATTGCCAATAAATTTTCCACTCAAGAGGCGAGAAAATTGGCCCACTTGAGAGAAAACAGGGTGATTTCCTTGTTTTGTGTAAAGTGGTTGCATTTAGTTCCATTATATGTAAATCAAATATCACTTTCCGATATAAAGCACACCGGACAGAGTAGGCTACTTCGTTTCCCCTATTTAATTTACGAGACGGACTACTCCGTTTCTATAATTTTTTTATTTTGTTCAATTTAACCTATTTATTTTACACATATGAAGAAACAAAAATAAAAAGGAATCGTACAATACAACAAATTCATTGCTTACACAAACAAGGAAACAAAAATATAATAAAAATGATGTGGTATGTTTATCATAGACGAAAAATGAACAAGTTCCTCAAAAATCTTGGATTTGCCACTGATTATTGGTATAATGGATACACTTTTCCTCCCTTATTAGACTGATTTAATAGATTTGATTGGCATTAATGAGTACCTTAATGCATTAATTAATGGGATTATGTAAGCCAAATTTGCTGATTTTGGGTGGACCATTGAACACCTTGAGCCAGCTCATTGCAACAAAGCCGTCAATGATCCAACTCCCTTTGACGCTATAAATCAATGAACATTCATAGTTTCATAACTCCATTTTTTTGTCTTTATACATTTCAAATTTCCGCTTGAACTTTTACATAATTAAGAAAAAATTATAGAGCATAATTGTATAACTAATATGTACGAATACGGATTATAATCTTATGATTAAAATTTATGCAAAAAAATCAAATAAATCACATTTGCTGTTTTGTAGAATTTTTGATATAGTTTTGAAATATTTAATTTTTATTTTTTATTTTACACCTATAATCAGATAAAATGAATTCAAAATAATTTCAGTCAAACTTCGTAAACGGAAATAGGAAGATTATTTTTAGACTTAGAGAGTACTTTAAATCATTTTGAAATTTAAAATGACAAATCAATTTTAAGACAAAGAAAGCAGGGGTTAGGGATGAGAAATCAGTTTAGTGAGGCGTCAAGTATGCGCCATTCCAAGTAGACAAGCAACCTTGTGTTTCACGAGATTGGGTCACCCCAGCCGACCCAAACTTTGGTCGGATTTGACATTTGTCATCACCAAATGCCCTTCCCAAACTTGCCCGCCTCGTCCGCTCCTCCCTTTCCACTTCCTCTATTTGTATGTGGTACTTCGTTCGTTTGAAAAAAAAATTCTTGTTTGATTTTAAAAGAATTTTTGTTTTGATTTTTTAGAAATTTAAGAAAGAAATACTTTTATGTTTATTTTTCGAAATTATTCTTGACATATAAAACTAGAATGTGATGGGTAACTTTCTAATGAATAAGGTCTTTTTTGGCATCATCGTTAACCTTTGGAAAAGATTATCAGACAGTAGCTATTAGCATTAGCGTTTTCATAGTTATCATACACCATTAAAATTTTATTTAAAATACTAACATTAATTAATCGATAACGTTGTTTCCAAACAAAACCTAAGAATGATGTGATATCTATGTTAAAAATTAAAAGGTAATGAAATTTTTAATATAAAGGAAAAATATATTGTGGGACACTAAAAAAGACTGAAGAAAGAGTTTGTGGAACGAAACTAATACTATTTCTTGACTTTTTTTTCTATTTCATGATATGTTCCGACCAGTTTTTTCTTTTTTTTACAATTTTTTTCCAAAACTTCACTCTATGGAGGTTTGAACCCAAGACCTCTTAGCTGTTTGGTTAAGTTCTTAACCATCCAACTAACAGTGTTTGTTGTTTCAAATTCATATAATTTTTTCTAATATTTCATAATTAACAAAAAGATTGTATAAAAAGTACTTTTCAATTTTAAAAATATACTCCCTCGTCCCATTTTAAAAATCCTGTTTGCCTTTTTTCTCCGTCCCAAAATAAGTTGCCTGTTAGTTATTTTCGTAAACTTTTAAAAATAAAATACCTAAACTACCCCTAAAATAAGTCACTCTTCTTCACCTTAACTTCTCATTTATCATCACCCCTCCTAAAAATAATGTCAATTTCGAAAAATCAACTCTATTTTTTATTTTCCTTAAATATGCCCAAAAGTCAAAACAGACGATTTAAATTGGGACGGAGGGAGTAATAAGTAGTATTATATGCTATGAGTCAAACAAAAAATCATTAATATGTTTTTAATAAAATTTTAATATTATTTTTAACATGTAAATTTTATATTTTAATTTAGTAAAATAACTGAAGTATGTTAATATAATTTTAGTCAAAAAATTACTTTCTTTATGTATTTATATATGAGAATGTGTGTGTGTGTGTGTGTGTGTATATATATTTATATATATTTATATATATTTATATATTTATATTTATATTTATATTTATATTTATATTTATATAATTTTTAAATACGTTTAAACCACCGGTTCGACCAGTGAACCAGTACCTTGACCGGTTCGGTCCCCAGCCCGGTTCTCAAAACTATGATGGCATTGTCACATTGACCTGCCCCAACTCGGCAAATTCGATAGATACGACGAACAGGGTCAGCCATCTAGGCCAGGGCCTAAAACTTTTTTCTATTTTGGTTGTATATTTAAAATACGGAGTATAAAATGTGAAAACAAGGACAAACACTAACATTCAAACACTCAAATCATATGTACTACTAAATTGAAAGTGCTATATGTATTCATACGTTAATTATTCCCTCATTATATTGGTCTTAAACCCAATTTGAATTGGACAAAGAGAGTACGATGGAGACACTATTATATATGTTATATGCGTGATAACATTTGATGGGTTGAACCACTTGGACATGATGAAATTTACAATTTCCATAGTGGAGATATGTGCTCGTCCCCCCAAGGCCTATAAGGATTAGCTCGGCCATCACAAGGAAACGCCATGCTCGGCCCGTTTAAATCCCCCAGCTCTTTGGGCTTGGGGCTTGGCCCCCCAACTCCACCCAATCAGTCAGATTGCCATCAAACTTGGCCTGCTGGCCCCCTTGGCATCTCATGTATGGTCGGGGAGTGAACCACTAGGGAACTACAAGGGCCAGTGACCAGGGTGTGAGAACATCATCAGAGGGCGACCCGTCCTTGGGCTCGGTCAAAGGGGATTGGCAGGAAAGTGATATATCATTAGAATAGGACAAAAGTAATTAAGAGGGCCAATGGGCCTCTTTGATTGAGTATATGGGTATACCAGCCCAAAATCGAGTGTATAAATAAGGCCTCCGCCTAAAGGGGTAAGGGGATCAGATTCTGATTTATTCAATTCATATTACAAGCCTGATCTTTTATAGTTTGTACTACCCCCATCCTTAGAATTCATCACTACATTTAGATGATTTGTCCAGTTTTAAATTTTTGCAGTCAAAATTACCAATTAAGTTTTGACCATTGATCATTTAAAATAAATACTTACATTAGAAATTAATATAACAATAACTTCATTATATCCAACTTGAAAAATATTTTTAAAATATTATTTTATTGCATTAACATACGATGTTATTTATATTTACTCGTAAGTATAGGACTAACCATGATTGACTGTGAAAAGCCAAAATTCAATCAATAAATACTTCAAGACAGATGAAATATTTATTTGTATATAATTGTACCCCTGCGGTGTATCATGAGTCTACGATGCTCAGTGCTTCGTATTGTTTCGTTCTTTTTCCTCACTCTAGTTTCATAGTCACTCTCTTTGAGTAATCATGGAGGACACTGTCTTAATTGAGATGACACTTACAGTACTCTGTTAGTAGGTTGCACAAATAATTATCATTTGTATTATCTGTATCAAACATGATACACTCTTAGTAGCAACTATTTGAAGACACTCATGATTAACTTCTTTTTTCCCTTTGTTGTTATTTCACTTGTTTGTGTGTACGGTGTACCATCCTTTCAATCCGCAACCGCCCTTGACCGTCCAGCTAAGCCACACCAGATTGAGTGCACAAATTAATGCAACAAGAATCCAAAATATTTGCTCTCGTCATCTCTATCATATCCCCCTTAATTAGTTTTTAATTACGAGGATTACTGTAACCACTTCACTTGCACAGCTCATTTGTGTCGAAAGGAAGTGTCACGGGAGTTAATTCGAATTCAAACCGTGACATTTATGGAAAAATAATTGTGCTAAACATAGGGTTCATGCATGTATTAAAGATTATTTTTCTCTATCTTTAGATTGGGCAGAGATTATCATCAGTTAATTTATCTTTTCACAATGTTGTGAGGTAAGTGAATTTATTTCTTTTTTTTCTTTTTGGATTATCTAAAAATTTTGTTCTCGTTTCTTATTTTAGCAAAAAAAAAACTTTTAATAAATGTACTATTATACTAATACTTTTTTTTACACTATTCACATTATTTCATCAAATCAAGCGCAAAAAATCAAATCGGGAAAGAAATTTTTAGAGTGAGAGAGTATAATATTTTTAGGACATTCCAACTACTGGCTAGGTTTATGAACTACTTTCTGAGTCCAATGAATTAGCAAAATACGTACGCTAATTATTCGGCATCAGTTATGCCAATGTTCGGACAAAATGTGTGGGTTCAATCGTAGCCGTTCATTCCGAAATCGGTCAATTTCCGAAGAAACGACAACTTAACCCTCCCGTAATAGAGTCTAGATTGGGGCTAGCTCGTAGAGGACGAGTTTGGGGGTGTGATATAGATTGTGCTAGATTTAAAGTGAATAGATGTGCTGTGATAAATAAGTTAAGAATTAATAAAGATAAAAGTTTTGGAACGGATAGAAAAAGAAAAGAGAAAAGTTTTTAGAGACGGAGTGAGTAATTGAACAATAGATAGCTAGTAATTTGTTTTGTTTCAAAATGTTATTCAGTTAATAATTATGAGAGTGTTTGAAAATATTTTCATATCACAAGTGTTAATAGAAAGAATTATTATTACCAATTAATATTCAAACATTTTTATCAAAGGTGATACTAAACCACACCCTAATTGGCTAAATCCACTCGATTTACAAAAAAACTGAACATCTTTGCATCTAAATTCTTTCTTTCACCATGTCAAACATTACGCGTAAATTTGTCCATTAAACTAAAAAGATTGATTACAACGTAATGTGTAATGGATAAATTTAGCAATAATCTTTTTAAAATCATAAAAGTAGTTATTAACTCAAAAAAAATTAAAGCAAGTGAAAGTTATAGAGCATTGCTAAATCCACTCCCAATTCATAAAAATTTGAAGTTGATATAGATTTAAATAATTTAAGTAAAATAATATATTGACATGGTCATTTTGGCCTTTGGAAATGTACTTAGCAGGATCCAAATTATATTTTGACATGTGAAGATCTTGTGCGTGGGCTTATAAATATGTTTTTATGTTGGGCTTGAAGTTAAGTTTATATAGAAAGGCTAAGAGATACTATTAGGCCTGTTTTGTGATGAACTCGGGTCACATGTCTGCAAGTGGCCTGCTAGAAAGTCGAACCACTTTTCTATACGCAACTACGCAAGTGCTTCTATGATCGAATAAATTGCAAAAAAAAAAAAGTTTTCTCATAATATTTTTTTAGATTAAATTCTATAATTGATTTTTGTAATAAAATATTTTTTTGTATTTAATTCTTTATTATAAAATGTTATTTTCGAGATCATTCTTTTATGACCTTTTGTCATTTGGTGTTTAATTTAGAATTAGAAGTATAATTTCACATTGACTTTATGTCTATTGAGGTATTCTGATGTTGGCTATTCGAACAACACAACAATAATGACTGTGATCATCATGAATTAGGATTCCGACCGGAGGCGACATCCATAGACTATGGATGAAGTAAACATCGAGTCTAGTTGACAAATGACGCATCATCAAAGATTAGCGACCTCTCTCATTGGTTATTATGACAAGAAAGATATGTGATTATTGTGAAATTCTATTTTAGAACTTAATTTAATACCAATATGATAGAAGTTAAAAAAGAAAATATTCATAAAAAATACTGATACAAAAAAAACCACAAGCGTAAATAGTAAACTAAATATGAAAAACTCATATGATAAAGAGATCAATTTTAAAGTTTACTCTATTTTTTATTTTTGTAAGTTTACTCATCATAGCGTTTAGAATTTCCAATGACACAATACTCCAAATAAAATTTTAAACAAGCACATCGTTGAGATGGAAGCTAAGAAATAGTACTCCGTAGTATAAATTAAAGCAATTACTCGTTTACTAGCAGGGGCGGCCTTGGGCCTGTGCAGGCTGTTCAACCGCACAGGGCCCAATTCAAAACAAGGCCCAATTTTTTGTTAAAGCGTGTAGGATGAGTAGGGTATGTAATAAGAGGTCCAAAATGAAAAAAAAAAACAGTTCTTAGCAGCCACAAACGGAGGTAGGGAGGTGAGGGAATTGCGTCATCTTCACTGCGGCAGGCTGCCCGCCTTACCGCTACGCCGTCCAACACTTCCACATTCACTTCAGTTTTCCGGCATGAACATGTGATTTACTTAAATTTTTTTAATTTAATGATCAAATCCATAGTTTTATTTGTTTTTTAAATTTTTAAATGTGCGATTTATGCTTTCTTCTTCTACAGTTCTATAAAATTTGATTTTTAATTAGAATGATTAATGAATTGAAGTTTGATAAAAAAAAATCAGTTTTTTTTAATTTTTCCTCTTTTAGAAGTTTTTATTTCTAATTTTTTCAAAAATTTTCAAATGTGAGAGTTTGGAACAAGTGCAAATGGAGAGCTTAATTGATGATTTTGCATCAAAATGTGCCAGGAGAATGTCTCTTTTTATGTAAACTTGTAGTGTGATGTTTTCTTCTTCATTGCAACCGATTCAATAATTATTATGAAATTTCTTTAAATTTTACATTTATTAGATATGATACTCCATAGAGGCTATTTTTTGTTTTCACACATAGCCTGTTTCTGCTTCGGGCCGGCCCTGTTTACTAGCAATGCAACCAAGTACGGAGTAGCTTTTTCCTTGGTATATACTCTCCTCTTATTTGTCCATTTTGAGTTTTTCGAGTTAAATTGGACAAATTTTGAGCATCAGTTAAATAAAAAAACGTACGAGTAATATATTTTAACATAAAAATAAATTTATTGAATTTATCATATTGAAAACTTTTAAAATTGTGTTTCATTGTATTAATATGCAAATACAAATGGAGACTTATTAGAGTTTAAAAAATTTATTCAAACTCAACAAATCAAAATGAATAAATAGACAACCATAATATTCCTTGTTGGGGATCTACTCTTTAATTGTTGTGAGGAATAAATGAAAGTTTAACCTTCAAGCCATGTTTGGCTTTAAGAAGAATGGAGTCCTTGGGTATAACGGGATGATCCTCCGCAAGTTCAAAGCAGTAGCGGTGGATCACGGTGGCCGCCACCATCTTCATCACAACCCAAGACATGTCTTTTCCGACGCACGTTCTGGGTCCGGCGTTGAACGCCGGAAACTTGTACGACGGCACGTGCTTCACCGCCCGGCCGCCGCCGCCTTCCCCCGCCAGCACCCACCTCTCCGGCTTGAACTTGTTACAGGATTATTATTATTATCATCATCATCATTATTATTAGTATTATTAGTATTATTATTATTATTATAGGTAAGGTATTATATATGGTTAGTTAATTAAGATTAGAGAATATTATTTTTGTTAGGTTATTAATTAGTTTCTTATTTTATTTAGTTTCTTTTATGGATTGGACTCTCTTAGAGTTTTAGAGTTCCATTCTATAAATTGAGATGTACGTGTTTAGAATTATTCAATCAATAAGAAACCATTTTTCCTAAACCCTAATCTCTTCCTCTCCCATCTCGTTCTTCTATTTCGCCGAACAAAGTGTCGTGCGATTCTCTCTTTCTCACCTCTTTTGTTCTTGGAGCTCGAAGGTGCTCGAAATCCTTCCCTATCCCGATACGATACCGTATCAGAACTCCATGCAGTACGTCGTCTCCCCACACCTCCTCCCGCCGCCCCATCGCGTAGAACGACAGTATGACGCTGGTGCCCGGCCTGACCCGGTGCCCGCTCGGGAGCCGGTCCATCTCCGCCGGGACTTTGTGGTTCAGGGGCACCGGCGGGTACAGCCGGAGGGTCTCGCACAGGGCGGCGTGAAGGAAGACTAACTTGTCGTCAAGACACCCGCCGGCATTTGACCAGTAAATCATGTGTCTTATCTTGGCCGCCACCGCAGAAGAGCCCGGCGTGGGCGATCTCGCGGCGTATCTCTGCCAGAGCGGCGGGGTGTTTCGCGAGCAGCCAGAAGAGCCACGTGAGGGCGGCGCTGGTCGTGTCCCTTGCGGCGAATAATAAGCTCATAAAGGCATCTCTGAGAAATTGCAGAGAAGAAGAAGAAGAAGAAGAGGGGGAGATGAGCTGTTGATATGCGGTGAAGATGCTAAATTTATCTTCTTCCTCATCATCGTCCTTTTCCTTCCTCTTCCTTACCTGTTACGGAGTATTATTATACTACGTAATAATCAAATCAACAATTCTAACTAGTATAAAGACTTGAAATGATGACAATGATAAAGGTCTTGTTTGGTAATAGCGTTTTCAATTAGCGTTATCGTTTTAGATAAAATATTAACGGTGTAGATTAAATTGGAAAACGCTAATGCTAAAGACTACAGTCAAATTGGTTTTTCAAAACGCTAACGTTAATCTTCAAAGCGGATGCCAAACGGGGCCAAAGTGTTCAATCACTAAAAGTTAAACGGGAAGTGGTTGAAAAACGGGCCCAAAATGTGCATTAATAACAATTTCTCTGCACAAAAATACTTAAATATCTCTCGTCGAGCAATGATAGGTCCACAAACAGAATGACTATAAATTTTACAAACTTACTATTTATGATTTAAATTCTTATTTTAAAATTATTTTAAAATGCTTAATTTTTTATTGAAAATCAAAAATAGTAAATTTGTAAAAGTTGTGATCATTTTGTTTGTCAAGGAAACATTTGTCAATATCATCACCTCATCTTCTTGGAGCCTCTTGATTATTGTGGAGTTCAATAACTGATCAAGGGCTTTCCAAGCTTGAGCATGCTTCTTCTCCTTCCCCATCCCTAACCATTTCTGAAGCTTCCAAACCCTCTCCGGGAGCACATGGCGGTAGAAAACGGCATCGACGGCATCCCTGAACGCTTCCTCTAGCGGGTCATAGGGGAAGTCGACGGTGAGGGTCCCAGGGTTGTTGTCGAGAAGTATTAATTAGCATGGCGAAGTCGAAAGTGAACCTCTCGAAAACACGTTGCAGGTCAAAGTGGTCCCCGCGCCGAGCGTGGAGGTCGAGAACGGGCAGCAGCCCGTTCTCCACCTTTTCCGAGACGCACGTCTCCAGCAATGTGCTGAACCGAGGGTGGTTCACGAGAGAGAGCGCGGCTCTACGGTGAAGGTGCCATAGCTCCGAGTCCACGTTGAAAACCCCGTATCCTAAAAGCTCGAATATTGCCCGAAACTTGGGACCCTTAGGAGAGTTGGCGAAGTTTCTTGAGAGGATGTGGTTGACGTTTGCAGGGTCAGATGTTACCAGCATGTCTGACCCTACAAACCAAGGGCTTTTGACCTCAAACGTGCCTCCGTGTTCTCGAAGCGAATCCGTCATGAAGTCGTGAATGTGCCCGGATTTCTGTAAGAAATCCGGTAACATCTCGACGACTGGCCACTTTGTTATAGAAACTATAGTGGAACTCACTCTTTTCTTGTGATAGATCATGAAAAACGTAATAACCAATAAAAGTAAGGCAATTACGTAACAGATGCCCATTACTTAAATGAATTGCGATATGTATTGCTTAGATATAATAGCTAGATTTTCCCATTTATATAAGACTCATTTGCTATTGCCCCTTCACTTACACAGTCTCATTTCGATTTACTATATTTGAATTGATTAACTATTATTATTGTGATTTGAAATGAAATTAATTTGAAAATCATTCCAAGTTTAAAAATTAAATCAAAATATATAGGGAGTATCAAAAAAGATATTCCCAAATAGAGGTTACGTTTCATTTTTTGCTTTTTTCAAAAAATACTTTTACTCACATCTAAAATGTCTTAAGATTACTCCGTATCACATTACCCTTTATTGAACGTGGGTAAAACTCGTTTTGAAAGTTTGTTTGGCGTTTGAGACGAAATAGAAGTATTTTATGAGATGCGCAAACAATGAAATGCAACCTTTTCTTTGAGACGAATGAAGTACTATTTTTCAGTGACAAGTTTTTATTTAAATAAAGTTAATTAAAGAAGGAAAAAGTATACCCTATATGATATTAGATCTTACTCCGTAACTGTTAATCCTAAACAGTAAGAATACATGTGAACTATGGAATATTTAAATATGACCAAATATTTCCAAAAAATACATGGTATGAAGCCAAACAAAAATGGAACCAACAATTATATAAAAAGGGAATATTAATTTCTAACTTTCATAAATTATTTATTAGTGGCTACAAGAAATTCACTTGTAAAAAAAATTGCAGTTAAAGCAATTCCTTAATTAGAAGGATGTGGTCCCGGGGTTAATGAAACTTGATGTGTGGTTAGCCTTATTTAAATGAACAAAAAATAATAGGGGTACACTTAGTATACTCCAAAGCTTCTCTATCACACACTCACACATTCTTGGTGTTGATAAAAAAATAATGAGTTAGTAAAAATGAATTGGTAAGGACTAAAGATTGTTGGTGTACAAATAGAGTACACTAGCTAATTAGTGTACCCTTACCATAACTCTAAAATAAAAAATGCTACTTGCACACTAAAATATTTTATAGTGACACAAAAACTTATACATGTGACAAAAGCTTTTATAGATAACATACACTCAATATTTATACAATACACAAACATTAAGTGTTTGCATGTATAGTACTCCCTCCGTCTCACTCTTTTTGTCCACTTTCATTTTTGCACACCATCCAATGCACTTCTTTAATCCATTTTATCTTGTAATTTGTATATTAAAAAATTATAAAAATTATATATTAATAATCTATATGTTAAGACAAATCAAACAAGATCACACATGACTATTTTTAGACTTACACATTGAGAGAATTTGATGAGTCAAAGTGCTTAGATGAACAGTTCCAAAAGTCAAAACTGGACAAAAAGAGTAGGACGGAGGTAGTACTTGTGAATGCTTTAATGTATAAATATGGTACACTATTTAGTGTACAGAAAGAGCTATTACAAATAATGAAATTCCCACACTATCCTTGTTAATATTCAATCCTTTGACCTATGAGTGTGACATCTTCTCCTTGAACCACTCTGACATACCATGCAACTGCAAAAGATGGTGTACAAATAGTAATTGGTGGTGACTCATCTACTCATCACAATTCACACATGATGTCATGAAGGTGGACGTGACAATTGATCCATTTTGCATAAGAGGTTGTATTTACGGAGTAATTAAATTTGGTCATGCTACGTAATTAGATAATGATTGATATCAAGTTGTAGGTATCTTTTCACTTCAAATGTTAGTTTTTAGAAGAAAAAAAAATACCCCTTCCGTCCGAAAATGTTTTTCGTACATTGACTTGACACACTTATTAAAAAGTAGTAAAAATATGCCAAATTTTCAAAAATACACATGTTATAAACTTTTAAATCTTATTTTCATATTAAAAAACGTAAGAACAAAATAGATTAGTAATGAAATATAAGAGTATCATTGAAATTTATCCTTTAAAAGCCTATTAAAAAAATAATGGAAAGGATATTTTTAAACGACAAAAAAAGGAAAGTGGAAAGACCAATTTCGGAAGGAAAAGGGGAGTAACTTTCATAGGAAAAAAAAGGAAATATTTTGGGTGAAGGTCATTTTTGGTTCGTTTGGACCCGGTTCAACTAATATTTTTCTCTTTGATTCAAGTTTAATTCGGGTACTTCATATTGATTCATTTGGATTAATGGCATTTGGATCTAATTGACTATAAATCATAAGCCTCAAAACGCCCAACTGAGTCTAGCCCAACCCGTTATAGATCGGGCAAAGGTAACAGGCTGTCAAACGCAGCCAAGCGGGCTGAACCGTTTTATCTCATTACGAGATGTAGATGCCCAACATTTGTTGGAAAAAATGGAAGTTGTTAGAAAAATAAAAAAAAAGTATTGAACTAATTATTAAATTTTATAAGTTTCCTATTTTATTTAATATTTTTTGCTCAACTTTTTTTTTAAAAAATAATATCCTTTATATCTTCTTATATGCCATTATATTTTTGTCCAAATCATATTAATAATATTTGAGATATTTAACTTTTACTTTCATTAGTTTGGACTCATCAAATTTTTTTGTTTATTAAGTTTTATGTCCCGTAATAAATGTAGCAACAATAAGGGGGAAATAAAGTAATACGCGGTAATTTTTTAAATTTTAATTGAACGAAAATTTGATATAAATAATATAGCGAGTTTTTGACAAAACAAAAATAATCATGCATCACATTTTCTATTTCTATATAATTACATAAATGACCCCGAGATTAAAGTAGCTAATTTTGTCACAGAGCTTGCATATCCTTTATATGTCTCGCAAAGGTTTTCGCACTTTCTTTTTCGTCTATCACAAAACAATTCAAACCACATTTTTGTTCATTTTTAAGCTTTACAAATAAATTTTATTTTATTTTGCAGGATGTGATAAACATTTTTGTGACGATGGAGTATAATTTAAGAATTTTAAACCAAAAGAGTAGGCTTTAAATTTTTTTCTTTTACCGTAATACTTAGAATTATGGTCAAACTTGGGTACGAGTGTTTGAGATCAAACGAGATAAAAGACGTTATCAAAGGTAAATATAAAAAACAAGTATGACATTGAGGAGTATGCTTTAGTGATTTTATTGATGTAATTGTTTTGTTTTTAAAATTTAATATACTTTTTTTATTGAATGGATTTTATTATTTGATGAATTATTATTATAGTTTAAATATAATTTATTGATAAAATTTTATTAATTTATTTTTATAAAATGTATATTAAAAAATAAAAAAGAAAAAATTTGAAACTTAAAGAAGATTTAAAAAATTGATGTGAAAGATAATGAAAGTTTGAAGCTTCAATTTCGATTGTCTCGCTTCAACCCCATTTCCTTGTGGTACCAGGGTCATTTTCCTGTTTGTGTAAAAAGCCTGCATCTCATTCCCTTTATATGTAAATTGAAGTTGCACTTTTCCCAAAAAATATCAAACGGATTTACCTAATCCGTATTGATTCATATTATTTAACTAAACGGATTAGGCTAATCTGTTCCACTTATTTAATTACCAAACGGATTAGCCTAATCCGTTCCAATATATTTTTTTTAATAATTTTCTTTAAAAACGGATTTGTTGCTTTGTTCCTATTTTTTTCACCTTTAAATTTTTTTTAGTTATTTTATCTCTTCTTTTATAAACCTTTTTAACAAATTAAATCCACTTTTATAAACTTTTTTTTTATTTTTCAAACTTTATTTTATTAAAATATTGTATTTTAAAATTTTTTAATAACTGAATTAAAACAATTTACTTCTGTTACTTTTAAATTACTAATAAGAAACCAAATTAATTACAAAATAAACGAGAAACATACATAAAGAAGATGTAAATAATTGACTACAATAAAATTTTAAACAAAATACAAGACAAAACACAATAATTTTATTGCTAGAGTACATATAACAATTTATTCTTAAAAAGTAGAAGCCAAAACATAATTCATGACTAACTTATTTGTAAAATTTAATAATACATAAACTGAGACATAATTGAAATTCATGACAAAGCTATTCCTGGTTACGATGTCTCCGTGGTCGATAGTCCATGTTATTCGGATAGCGGGTTCTCGTACGTCGACCGGTTCGTGTGGTCTGTCGTGGTCTTGGCCTCAAGATCTCGTACTCTGGAGTAGACCATTGAGACTCATCCGGTAGCGGCATTATGATGCCAGAGTAAGCATTGATGTAGGACTGAATTGAAAAAACATTTGGAATCAAATGATCCACGGTGACATTACAAAAATGACATACTGCGTGGACATGATTGCATGGGGGTGAAATGTTACCCATTGACCACAGCTACATGTTCGTGCATTTAAGTTCACCGTAAATGTCTCCCGTTGAGCAATGTAGGACGACCCATCCACCACCACAAAGTATATCCCTTGTTGTGCGTGGTGCTGCACAAAACGACAATACAGCCTATTTTCTTCATTTTTCCTAATATGTTTCCACACATTCATAGGAAAATTGTCCCCGGATTGCTGCCATACATATCCACTGGTTCGCCTCTCAGCGAAAAGTTTGACCAGCTTATCATAGGTGAACACCACAATGGCATATACTGGCAAACAACGACATCCTTTAAGGACATGATTGAAACTTTCTGAGGAATTTGTAGTCATTACACCATAACGTGACCTACCTTCATCATGTGACAAAGCCCACTTGTGTTTTGGAATGGCATTAAGCCAGTTGTAGGCTTCTTGATTTTTGGATGCTATTTGGAGTAGCAACTGGTCAAACTCACTTCTATTCGAGGCTTTACCAGCTTTGTACATCAAGGTCCGTAACTTCTTACTTCGGAACTTATTCCAGAAAGTGCTGCGTAGGTGGCGGAGACAATATCTTCGAGTCACTCGACCTCCACCTAACTCTGGGACATTTTCAAATGCATGCTCAATCCCAATGTGTCTATCAGATATTATGCATACACGACGATGTGGGGGAACGACATGACGCATGACATTCGTCAAGAACCATTTCCAACTTGGACCATCTTCAGCATCAACAATAAAAAAAGCTAGGGGAAAAATTTCACCATTTCCCGTCGTTGCCATGACAAGTAATAAACATCCCTTATACTTGCCGAATAAGTGAGTTCCATCTACTGAAATAACAGGAAGACAATAGTGAAATCCATCTATGGATGCCCTAAAGGACCAGAATACATACTTGAACTGAAAAGAAGTTGGTGAATTAGTTGCCATTGTTTGTAAATCAACAACAGTTCCATGGTTTGACCCCATAATTGCACTAAGCAAGGGAGCCAACTTATTGTACGACCCTTCCCAGCTACCATACAAGCGTTGGATGGCTAATAACCGTGCACACCATGCCTTCTTGTAAGACAGAGAGATCTGGAACAACTCATAAATATCCCTGATAATGAGTTTGACTTTATAGTCAGCATCTTCTTGAATTTTTGGACCAATCAGGGTACTTAAACATGATAGCTCTAGCATGCTGTTGGTAATCAACTTCTACACCATGCTCTGTCAGCGTCTTCGGTTCAATTGCAGATATCTTAATAGTAAAAGACGTAATATCAGATTGTTCAGGTATCAAACCCATCATGTCATCGCAAATCTGAATCCATTGATCTCTTGACCGACTAGTGCCCCCCGACAATGGAATGCCATCTACGGGCAATCCAAGTAAAACCTCAACATCTTGTAGTGTAATTCCCACCTCTCCAAATGGAAGATGGAATGAATGTGTCTCGGGTCTCCATCTCTCCACCAAAGAAGTAATCAGAGCCCAATCTAACTGTAATCCACCCACTTTCTGCACCCCATAAAATCCATAATCTTGTAAGATCTCTATAACACGAGGTGGTCTATTAGCAACTAGAGTCCTCGGATATATACTAGAACAAGTCCTATGACACTTTAGACTCTTTTTTGCATATTCTTCGTCTGCCCATACTGCATTACACCTATGTACTCCGCCTTCAAGAACTAAAACGTCTCGGGAAATAGGTCCCGGATGAACATCCATTTGCTTCAAAGATTACAGAATAACAATTTATTCATTTAATAACAACGCACTTCATTCAAACCACATAAGAATTTATTGATTTAATACAAGCACACAACTAGGCAATTACAAACTAATAATATATATCAATTATAATTAACAAATTCACCAAAATTGGTAATTCTATATAATTTTTACAATTTTATAAAACATAAATCTAAATATAATCATAAAATGATAAATATATATATAAATTAACTAAAAAAATAAAAAATACCTCCATGAAACGGATTAGGCTAATCCGAATTGTCCTGGTCGGATTTCCGGTTGCCCCGTTCGGATGGTCGGATCTCCCGGCGGTTTCCCCTTCAGTCGTCGGTCGGCGCTTGGTGGATAGCGAGCTCTGGTCGGCGGTCGGCGGATGGTGTGGATGGCGAACGAATGAGTAGACGATGGGGGAAGGGTTATCCAAATAGAGAGACGGTTTAATTTTATCTGAAACGGATTTGCCTACTCCATTTGGGGAGTTTTTTTTTTAATAAAATGAAACGCAGTACGCTACTCCGTTTGGTAAATTAAAAACCTAAAACAGATTAGCCAAATCCGTTTCTTTAAAAATTTTCAAATTGAAACGGATTAGGCAAATCCGTCCTGCACTGCCAGGGAAAAAAAGTCTGACTTACACTGCGGAGATTTATTTTGTTACATACGGAGTATGTTAGTAAATTACTCGTGGTACCACATAGTTAATGTCTCCTCATTAAACATGTCAGAGGCTTAGTTGGGTTGTCACTGTCAGAGTTCAAAAGTGGTAATGTCTCTTGAGAACTCAACCACGGAGTAGATTAAATTATCCTCATTAGGGCATCACCAAGGAATCCTCCAAACCAAACTTTTTTTTTACTAGTTTTGTAAATTTTTTGATGTAGTTTTTAAATTTGTAATTTTTATTTTAATATACTATGCTATTTTCCATATAAATGATTTGAAAATTGTTTCAGTCAAATATCATAAATCGAAACAGACAATTTAAATTAAGACATGGGAAGTACTTTTTTTTGGTGTGATACTCCAATAAAGTCCGACATGGAGATATCATAACTTGAAGAAGTGGGTGGAGTTACTTCATACTCTCTCCCACCCTAAAAGATGTTTTCGTTTCATTTTTTGCGCATCTCATAAAACTCTCCTACCTGTATCTAAACTGCCTAAAATTTATCACATTTTCCCTTTATTATAGGTAGAAGTTGTTTTGAAAGTTTTTTTGACATTTAAGATTGGATAGAAGTATTTTATGAGATGCACAAAAAATGAAACAGAAATATCTTTTAGGGTCGGAGGGGGTACAAAATAGTGGTAAACTAGCTAGAACGAGAAATTAGTTTAAGGATAAAGAAAATAATAATAATAATAATAATAATTATAATAATAATAATAATAACAACAACAATAATAGAAACAATTATTATTATTATTATTATTAATGAGAAACATTTATTTTCTACGGTGGGTGAATTGGACTATGAGACCGTGCTTAGCTTGAAGAATGATCAAATCACTGGTGGAGACGGAGGAAGGATCCACCACGCGAAACTCGTAGTCGTGCAACATCTTCGCCGCCACCATTTTCATCTGCACGAACGACATCTCCTTCCCCAGACAAGTCCTCGGCCCCGCGTTGAACGCCGGGAACTTGTACGACGGCTGGTGCCTCGTTCGCCCGCCCCCACACACCCACCTCTCCGGCTTGAACTCCGCCCAGTCCTCGCCCCACGCCTCAGCCATCCTCCCGGTCGAGTAGAACGAGAGGATGACTCGCGTGTTGGGCCCCACGCGGTGGCCGCTGGGAAGGACGTCCTCCCCAGCTGCCACCTTGTGCTCCAGAGCCACGGGAGGGAAGAGCCTGAGGGACTCGCAGAGGGCCCCGTGGAGGTACACTAGCTTCTTCGTTTCTTCCGCCTTGAAGAACCTCAGCATCTCTTGTTTGTCGGGATTCAGGGTCTCCTCGATCTCCTGTCGGACTTTCGCCAGAACCTGCGAGTTTCTGGCGAGAAGCCAGAAGAGCCACGTCAGAGCGGTGCTCGTCGTGTCTCTTCCGGCGAAGATTAGGCTCAGGAATGTGTCCCTTAAGAACTCCGTTGACCCGGTCGTGGTCATCATCCATTTTTGCTCCTCGTATGCTTTGCCGAACGCCGCGAAGAGAGTCCGGTCGTCAGGGAGTTCAGTGCTAACTCCCTGACTACGGTCGTCCTCGCGCATGCGTCTTATGGCGGAGTATATGAAGTCGTCCAAATCTCGACGTGCTTGGTTGAGTTTCTTCTCCTTACCGACTCCTAGCCAGTTCTGCAGCCTCCATATGCTCTCTGGAACGACATGCCGGTAGAAGAGAGCTTCCACCGCCAGGTTGAAAGCTTTCTCCGCCGGAATATACGGCAAGCCTACGCTTAGGCTTGTCGGGTCCTCTTGGAGGACAATGGCGGAGATGGTGTCGAAAGTGAGCCGTTGAAAGATTTCTTGAAGGTCGAAATGGGTTTTCTTCTCTACAAAGAAGTCGAGAACGGGCAAAAGTCCGTTCTCGACCTTTTGCCACATGTTCTTCTCTAAGAGAGAGAAGAACCTTGGGTGGTTGAAGATGGAGAGAGTGGTTTTCCGGTGAAGCTCCCAGAGGTGGGAATCGACGTTGAAGATTCCGTCGCCTAGAATATCGAACATTTTGCGGAACTGTGGGCCCTTTGGGTAATTGGAGAAGTTTCTGCTGAGGATGTGGTGGATGTTTGCCGGGTCGGCGGTGACGAGCATGTCCATGTCGGAAAACGCCGGGCCTTTGAGGACGAATGTCCCGCCGCCGGCCTTCACCAGATCGGTCGCGAACTCGTGGATTCTGTGGGCGTTCCGGAGGAGCCCCGGCAACATTCCGACCGCCGGCCAGTTCCGGGGAGTGGGCTTCATTGTGGAATAACAAAAGAAAAGCAAGGCGAACAAAAAAAGGGCGAGCAGTATTGCCATCGGGTAGTAATACGGCAAGCCGCCGGCGGGCTGCATCTGTGTTTTAATTTTTTTATAATTGAATGAGTCAAAAATCTCAACTAAAGAAAGACATACCGGGTATATATATTTATACTCCCTCCCTCCACCTAAGTTCTTCCCATTACGCGTTACGAGGCTTGATCGATTTTATTTTCAATTCAATTTAATTGATTATAGAAGTAAAATTTTAAAGTAAAATTTATATAGTAATAAACTACATGAAAAGTTCTACAAAACTAGAGGTGACAAGACTATATTATTTTACGAAATGACTAATAAAAATTAGCAAACAAAGTGAGTAAAGTTTGACCCTGTAAATAGTGTATGAAAAAATCTATGGTGGACAGAGGGAGTATTACTTTGTGCATTGCTGATTAAATTTAGAATTTATTAAAAAATATATTTACATACATGGACATATATTTTTGCTATTGGAGGATATTATATATCGGTTAGACTAAAAATTATATTTAAAGATATTATTCATTTTTAAGTTTGAAAAGGATTTTAAAAATTTGCATCGCACGGGTGAAATACTAGTATTTATAGTAACGGGGCCCTTCCTGTGCAGAATTTTACTTTTCTAACACCCGATATATTTCTCTACCCGCCTTATCCGAATACACTTTTCACCTCCTTATTTGCACATTCAATTTAATTTTGGTTTTGGAGTCAATATCGATTCAATCAATCCGTTGAGAGAATCTCTTTTACATGAATCCAATTTTCATTTCATCCAAGAAAAGCTTTCTTTTTTTCAACAAAATCTTTGTCAGTTTGATGGGGATCATTCTCCAAAAATACCACCGGTAATATCAAAATAGATAGCAGGTGTTTGATTGTAAAGTCAATGTTAACTTCGGTGGTACAATTGAAGAGGGTAGAAGGTGTGTTCGGGGCGGGGTGAGAGATTTACGGGTGAGGGGAAGAGGGTTAGGGGGCAGAAATCATCAATTTTACGAACGGGGCACCGAAGCGTAATAGGGTCAGACATTGCCCGGTAATGTCATGGGATGATCCGGGGGTGCTCTGGTGCCCCATTTGTAAAATTGACGATTCCTACCCCTCGGGCCCTCATAACCCCCCCCCTGCTCCTCATCCTGACCCAGACGCACCCCCACCCCCTGTTTAACTTTTCTTTATCAACTACGATTCACTTTTTTTAGAATTAAATAAAAATTATATCATACTCCATCCGTTCTAAAAAATACTTCCTTTTTTATTTTGTCCACTTCTAACAAAGCATTTATACTTTCTATTAAAAACCCTCTTTTACCCTTACTTTTTCATACTCTGTCTATCACATCATACTTCTTATCTAATAATTTATTCATCACATCTTATTTTTACCCATCACATCAAGAGCAAAATTGAAAATCAACTACAATTTAACACTTTCTTATTTTTTCATTTGGTCAAACTAGGAACTCTTTTTGAGAACGGAGAGAGTATATAATGATTACTTAAAACAATACTCGCTCCGATCCTAAAAATCTTTCCTGGTTTGATATTTTTTAGTTAACCATTGACATATTTTGATCATAAGTTAAACATAATCTAAATAAATAAATGATATAAAAATTTGATATATCAAAACTATGAGTAATCATAATTAGGGGAAGCATTAACTTATTACTCAACTAAGGGAAAATGACTATACCTTCCTGCTATTTAAGCAATTTTATACGTAGTATTTAAAATATACAGATGTGTTAGATCGTGTAAATATTCTAGTTTCCAGTCATTAGTTAAGTTGTCACTAGGCCAATGCTTGACAATAGCATTAGAGTTTTGCATTAGCGTTTGAAAAATACTATCAAACAGTAACTTTTTGCATTAACATTTTCAGAATTTACATATACAATTAGAATTTTAGTTAAAACACTAGCTAGGTTCAGTGGCGGAGCCAGGGAAAAATTCATGGGGGGGGGCAAAAATTCATTTAATAAATAAATAAAATTCAAAATAGTAACTATTTTAATTGGCAAAGTGCAACTAAACATACCTTATATTTGTGTAAAGAAGTAAGAGTTGTTTGGGGTTGTAGAAAATTTTTTCGAGATACCAACTTTTGAAAGCAACAAAATAAAATACGGAGTATCAATAAACTTAAAACAACAATTTCATAGTTCTTAATCTTTAGAACTTGAAATTACATTAACACTTATCAAATATTTAAATAAACACACTAGAACCTTAGAACAAAATAAATATTCAAAATTTTAAACATAATTTAGCAATATTCAAAAATTTCAAATATTAAGAAACAAATCTCAAAATTAGATAATTAAAATTTAAATATACCTAGACAACGACGAGAGAAGATTCGAAGATTGGATGAAGAAGCACAGAAGAAAAGCTCAAAATTGGAAGAATTAAAAAATAAAATCCTGTCCGTCGGTTCCCAGACTCCAGTGGCGGATTTCTTCTGCCTTCCTCGGTTCTGCTGCTGCGTGTTGCCTGCTGCGGAATAAGCCTATGATGGCGAAGAGGGATGACTACTCCATACGGAGTATTTTTTTTTAGACAATTGGGCTACTGGGCCCTGTAATCTTGGGCTGGGTCAAGGAAATAATTTAAAACCCAATCTTAAAACGACGTCGTTTTGAGTTGTTTTTTCTTCGGGAATCTGCTTCTTCCACCTTTCATCTTCTTCGATCGGCAGTTCCGGCCAGCCGGCCTCCCATCGCTGCGACAATTGGGAGGGCAAATTCGGCCTCCATCGCCGATTGGGTACCATATTCAACCATTGCCGGAATTACGCCGGGGGGCACTTGCCCGGGCATGCCCCCTCTCCTCCGCCCCTGGCTAGGTTAATGTAAATGCATTTTGCTCATATTTCGGGAATAAATATAGAAGTTCTATTTTGATATATTTTTAACATTTTACTCTAACTTTAGTCTTTTTTCCTTGTACGTTTCTATAGGCATTTATGGTGAATTTATTCCAAATGTTATCTTTAGAAAAACTTGAAAAACATGAATTTTGAAATCCAACGTTCGAGGATTAAAAAAATATTTGCTCACCAAATATTTGTAATAGCACCTCGACCAAACATTCACGGTACACCTCGAAAAGAAATCATTTTGACATTTTCAACACAAAAATGAACAAAAAAATAACCTTTGTTCCAAATTTGCTCAAAAGTCACAAAATCTAAAAGCTAATTAGGGATCATTGAATATAGAAATGCATGCATGCAATTAATTGTGATGGCCCAAAATGAAAACGATAAGGATCCGAGTCGGAGCCTCTTCGACTTGTCGTACTCCAAATTAAAATTAAAGCCCAACAATATAATGCATGATCTTGGTATTAGGTTCTACCTGTCCATCTAATGACTCCTAGTAATTAATTAGTATTCGCCTAATTTTACTATTTGCATTTAATTTAGACAAACATATATAATGAACTAAATTTTACGGAGTTTTATTCTAACATCTCGATAAATTTTATTTTATTTTTTGTATATTTTAATTTGTCTTTGGAAAGGTGAAATATTGTACATCATCTTTTATTTTGTTAAACTCTTGGTTTATTTTTAAAAATATAAGATATTTTTTATTTCTATGCTAATTCTGATGCTAAATAAATTTAAAAGATATTGGATGAGGTTTTGCACGATTTGCACTTTGTTTGAATAGTAAAATTTATTTTAAGATGAAAGGTGTATTACATTAATATACAAAAATAAAATTATTTTCATTTGTATACGATATTTTTTATTTAATTTTTTATTTAATTGATGATTAAATTATGCCTAATTTCAACTAAAAGAATCAAATTAAACAAATAATGAGTATTCTAGAAAGAGAGTATCTCTTGGGACAACAACAGATAAAAATGCACTCAATTCCTATGAGGCTATGACTCAAGACAAAAATGCAGGCCCAATAATTGACGCCACGTTTTAGATGATTCAACGTATACTTAGAAATTGTAATAGCTTTTGACTGCAAATTGAACCTAGGTTACAATAATTTAATATTATAAAAATTTGATATTTTAAAGTACTACGTATATTTTAAAATAAACTTAATTTTACAAAATTATAGCTAAATATTGTTTTTCATATTATAGCTAAATATTGTTATTCATACCTTACAGTCAAATAATGCTGCAATAATTTGACAAAACAAGTCAATAATTTTTGTGTCAGAGTTTACAGAGCTAAAATCTTTCATTTTTAAAATTATTTTATTTACAAATTGATATATGAATTAGAAATAAAAATTACATATTAAAAAATTACGTCAAAAATTATACAAAACGAGATATGCCAAGAATATTTTATTTTATCAAATTTTCAATGAAAACATACAAATAAATATAAATTATCAAAAGAAGAGAAAAAAAGATTTTAATCTATTTCGGGAGGGAGGGAGTATAAACCACCAATTTTACATAGACAATACATATTCGACACTAAATACAAATTTTTAAAAATTAAATTTCTTTTTTTTTTCTTTTTTGCGTTTTGGTGTAAAAAGTTAGGTTTATGTGTCAATTATCGCTTTATGTTTTGAATTTATTTAAGTGATCGAATGTGGTAGATAATTAACACTATGTTTGGTTTAAGGAATTTTGAAGGAAAAGAAAAGAAAATGGGTCTCTCTCATTTTCCTCACTAAAATGAGAGGAATTTGGTTTTCCCTCCACTTGATACATTGTGCCTTCTCATTCTCTTTTCCTTTCACTTTTCATTTTTAACCAAACAAGAAAACTTGTTTTCCACTTCATTTTCTTTTCTTTTCTCTTTTGAATTCCTTGAACCAAACATAGTGTAAAGGATATTAATGCTTTTTTTTTTGAATAAATGTGTTATGTGTGAATTGTGATATATACTCCGTAATTGAGATTTGAGAAATTGTACTATGTAATACGGAGTAATTTAAAACATTTCGTTTGAGAGCATCTCCAAGCATCTTACTTTGACTTGCTAAAAGTCATAATAGCAAGTCAAACCCATTTTTTCTTCTTTAATGAGTGTGTTAAATTTTAGCAAGCTGCCAAAAATTGACTTTGTCTTGCTAAATATAACAAGCTCTCCAAATTATAAAAGTGAAATTTGCACTAAATAGGACTAAAACATAATGACTTTCCTAATGTAAGACTTAAAATTTTTTA